GTTCACTAAAAAAATTAGAATAAAATAAAATTTAATAATCAAAAAAGATTTTAAGTATTATTTTAATTATAAATATACATTTTGTAATGATTATTTTTATATTTACAAACTATTTAATGACTAAAGTACTTTAAACACTTGACGGATTTAATTTTGAAGTTAAGAAGTTAGTGTTATAAATATACGGTCATTAATTGGGTTGTGATAAAATCAGAGGGTCTAATAAATGACCGGATGAATTTTTTACTGGGTAAATGGCTTCTGACGGATCCAATAGTTGACCGGTCTTAAAATAATATTGAAACTTATAATTTAACTTTATTTTTTCAAGAAAGTTGGAATCTGATCTTTAATTAACATAATAAAACTAAAATATTTTATATTATGCCGATAAATATCACTAAATTAATGATGAAATGCACTCACTCTCCAATTGTACGCTAGTTATTTTTGACCGCTTTATGGCTGGTTGCGTTGTAAACAAACTCAGAATATTTTTTTAAAGCTATAATCACTGCGCAATTAATTGCGTAATTTTTTATTATGATGATTAAATGCCATATTTTTTTATTTTAATACTTTAAGAAAAAAAAACCCTTGTAAAATATTAATCAATTAACTTTTTATACATCGGTCAACTAATTGATGACCGGTCAACAACTGGTGCATTTACCCTACATTCAGTATCATGTATGATATATATTGAAAAAAAATTTTTTTTTGTATAAAATATAAGTTTTTAAAATTTCTTTTTATTTTAAAAAAGTATAATTAAAAAAAAAATTCAATTGAGATAGATTATTTCTTCTCGTTAGATTTCTTCAAATTTATTATTCAATTGGTAATTATTTACTAGTAGCGTCCACCTTATTTTTCGCCATATTTAGGTGAAAAATTAACATTTTTTATTTTTTTTTATTCTGCTTGTCTTTACGGCGTATTTATGATAAAAAATATCGTGAAAGAAAAAAATAAAGATTTCGTTAGCTTTTTTGCCTTCAAAAGTAGGAAAAAATTTTAGCTCTCATGTTTTTGGATAAAATTTCTATTATATCTTTTTTCGATGTTTTGATATATTTCTTCTTTAAAAAGAACAATAAAAAACGAACAATTAAAAAAAAAAGTTGAATATCACAATTTTCTAAAAAGTTTATAAATTTTTTTGAAAATTTGTTCATGAATTTGCAAATTGTGATAATCAACTTTTTTTTTTAGTTGTGCATTGTTCATTTTTCTATAAAAAAAAAAAATACATATATGTATTTTTCAAAAAAAAAAAAAAAAAATATCAATAAAATGAAATAGAAATTTCGTTCAAAAAAATAAAAATCAAAATGGTTGACCCCAATTGTAAATATTTATTAAATTAATTTTTAAGAATATGTCATCTTCTTTATTTACATGATATATATTGAAAAAAATTTTTTTTTGTCTAAAATATTAGCTTTTATTTTTGAAAAGTATTATTAAAAAAAAACTTAATTAAAATTGGATTATTTCTTCTCGTTAGATTTGCTTCAAATTTATTCTTTAATTTTTTATAATAATTAGAAAAAAAATTAAATAATTATTGTCATGATCCAATTAACATAAATAAGTATTCAGAGTATATATAGAATTATTGATAATATACCTACTGTTGAGAAGTAAAGATTAAAGTCCGACATCTAGCGGAAGAAATCAAAAACCCGACCACGTAAGTAAAAATCAAAATAAAGCTAAAAATTAATTTATTACTAATTGGACAACAACTCAAACAACAACTAACAACTGTCTGTGTAATAATGTCCTAACCTTACGATGACAAATATATTATATATATACACTTAGTTGTATATATATAATATCTGACAAAAATGAAGTTATATAGTGTAGTTTAATAATAAAATTTTATACAATTGATAAAAAATTAGTTTAAAATTATATAAATGTCATTTATTAATTATCAATTGTAGTGTCGTGTTTTTTTTATAAAAACAATAATAAATTAGTGAAATAAAAATTAGTCATCACTAATTAAAGTAAAATGCCAAAAATAAAAAAACTTGATTCACCGGGTAGCAGCTTATGGTGGTTACGTCAACGCGAAATAGGATTAAATTCACCAGTAGGTTACGGGGATCGTTTTTACAAAACATTGTACTCCTCTATTCAACCAGTTACATCATGGGACCATGGAAATAATTTAAACAATGCAATACACGGTGGTGTTTTCAACCTTGAATTTTCACCTGACGGGTAAAGATCCTAAATAATAACATGACACTGAAGTTGACAGGAAAAATTTTATAGCAATTAAATTATTATAAAAAAATAAAAAAAAAATTCTATATGTAGAAATTGAAAAAAAATAATCAGCGGAAATTTTTAAAAGCATTTTTATTATTGTTATTGATTTTTTATAAGAATTTTTTCAGCCAACTTCAGTGTTATCATAATAACATATGTATTTTTAATTTTTTGCATTAATTATTGTATTTACTTTTTTTTTTTTTTTTTTTTCAGGTATGTATCAAAAGTTGTCCAAGGTCGAGAATTGAAATTTAAATTTTATTGGAATCATTTTTTTGATAAAAGTTTGTATGAATCTTTAACCAGCTCCTAGTTTGGGGCTGAAGCGTACATATTAATTTTCTATAGAAATAGTTTAACAATTAATTATTTAATAATTTATTTTTGACAAACATTTTTGAAGATCATATTTTTATTATTGTTGATATTATGACAAGTTTATGACACTGAAGTTGAGAAACATTTGATAATTTTAAAAAATTATAGGAAGAAAAATTAATAAAAAAAAATCAACAGTTAGAAGTTATGAAAAAAATTATTAATGCAATTTTTTAATTTATTTGTCAAATAAAATCTAAAAATGGTTAAGTGTCTGCTAATTTCAGTGTTATGACAATTTTGACTTTAAAACTAAGTTAATATTATGTAAGATGGATTCTTTGCACATTTAAGTACAAAATAATCAGGAAATATTTTAAGGAGATCCTAGTGAAGCTGTTACTAATTTTACAACTAAAAAAGTTATGAAAATATGAAAGTTTAAACAATTGCATGCCTTAAGCGCGAAGCGCGCAGGTATGCTCTACTCTCGCCTAAAAATCGTGATTTCGATTAAAACGTGATTTTCATAATTTAAACGAAAAAAATTATGGATAAAAAGCATATTGAAATAAATAATAGTAACTA